TGTTTAAGGCTTACTCTCTGCTCTGGGATCATTCCTGGAGGGCTTGGGGGACCATATGGGAGGCCAGGGGTTGAACTCGGGTTGGCCACATGCAAGGCAAGTGCCCTACCCACTGCTCCATCTCTCTGGCCCCAGGAGGTTTTTCTAGCTTGGTGCTTGGGGTTCACACTCTGAGTTGCCAGGTGTTGATCCTGGGTCTCCTGAAGGCAAAGGTTGAGCTTCCTCCCTGTTCCATAACTTTAAAAAAAATGGTTTTGTTTTGTTTTTGGTATTGAGGGATTACTCCTGACTTTGCACTCAGGAATCACTCTGGTAATGTTCGGGGTTTCACACGGGTTGCTGGGGATTGAACTCTGGTCAGCTGCTCCCAAGGCAAACGCCCTACCCGCTGTACTATCTCCCTGGATCCCATAAACAAACTTTTACAGTGGATAAAAAAGAAGTATGGCATTTCAGTGGGTACAGCACATCCCAGGCGGGCCCACTCAGCCTGGGGCTCCCCAGAAAGAGGAGAGAGATTGCTAGAGCCTGATTCCTCTTTGGTTTGCCAGGGGCACCTTCTACTCAGCTTGGCAACTCTCTATGGGGGAACTTCGGGGCAGGGGGCATCCGTCTGCTTCTGTAGTTCTGCAGCAAGCTTCCAGGAAAGGGCACTGTAGGAGAGACGCTCAGGGCGAGGCAGGCTGGAGCGTAGCCTCGAGACTGGGCGGACGGCCAGTCTGGAAGGAGAACAGAGGCTGCCTGGCGAAGCCACAGACTTTATTGCTAGTGATGTGGCAAGGAGGGCACATCTGGGCAGTAATAAGTATCTGTGGCTCGTTGGTCTAGGGGTATGATTCTCGCTTAGGGTGCGAGAGGTCCCGGGTTCAAATCCCGGACGAGCCCAGTTTTTTTTCCCCCTGGCTTTTTCTTCTTTGCCCCTCTCTCCCAGATTTATAGATACCACCTTCCCTCCCTAGAGCAGAACCAAAAAGATGGTCTGTTGGTAAGGGAATGAAAAGTCACAAAGGCAAGCTACTAGCTCTCTCACTGGGGGTAAGTTCTATTAAAAACGTTCCAGCCTAAATGCCCATGAACAGAGCAGACAAACTGTGGCTTTTCAAACAACAAAATCTTATCCATTGGTTAAAATTCATTAACTGGGGGCTGGAGAGAAAGTACCTCATGTTCTGCTGACCTTGTTTTCAATCTCTGCCACCACATATGGTCCCCCCAACACCACCAGAGATTACTCCTGAGCACAGAGCCAAGAATAGCCCTTGAGAACCAAGCATGTGACCCAATACCACCTTCCAAATAATTAAATAAACAAAATCGAAATCTATGAACTAGAGCCACAAGGAACAATATGGATACATAGAAACAAAACAAGCATTGGAGGGGGGTAAGGTGGTAAAACATTCAGGTAACTATGTAGAATAATCCATCTTCCTAGATACTTTCCCTTCCTCTCTCATTATTGCAGTGATGAGCAGAAGGGTCGCTAATACCTGGTTGCCGTGCTCATGCATTCAGTTGCAATGCTGGCCAGATTTAATTGTGGGGTCCCAACACCCCAGCATGTGGGATGGTACCAGAGATCAAATTTAGTCTCCTGCAAGGCAGGCACTGAACAAGAGCCTGGGTCCCTTTGACTTTCTTTTTTTTGGGGGGGTGGTGTTGGGAAGGGGGCCAGTTAGGGCCTCACCCAGCAGTGTTCAGGGATTGCTCCCAGTTCTGTACTCAGGGGTTGGTCCGTGCAGGGCTTGGGAGACCATGTGATGCTGAGGATGGAACCAGGATCCTCTGCATGTATAACAAATATTTTAACCCCAGGACTATCTCTCTGATCCCCCTTTCCTAGGTGTTGAAAGCACACAAGTCAATATTTTTTGTTGCTTGCCAATATGTACATCTAGAGCAAAAACTACAGTCAAAAACCGAAGAACTAGCTCTGAATTAAATGTGGCAAGAAATGAACAGTTGCTGGTTTTCATGGCGGGTATGTGAGTATTTGCTATGCGATTTTCTGCTGCTCTTTTCTACTCAGTTCAAGGATTTGCATTTCTTTTTTCTTTTTTAATGAAAGAACCTGTGCATTTAGAACCAAGGGAAGAGAGGATAGTTTGAATGTTTTAGTCCTTAGAGAGGATGATCTGAAGGGATGGGATTAGGGGGCAGGTTAAATCCTGAGTCTAGGGATGATGGGGATTAGCTCAGATCATCCCCCTAAGATGAGCACCTGGCTGCCCCCCCCACCCTCTGGCCTCCAGTGATGCATTCTGGACCCCCCCCCCTTCATTCTGTCCCGGGACATCTGCAAAGTTCTTTCCTCCTCCCTCCTAACCTCACCTCCACCCTCCGTTGCACTGGTCATACCAGCATTTGCCCAAGTTTGGGTCCTGGGATTCAGTAGGTTCGGGTCTCCACTGAATGCTCCCTAAATCAAGACTGAAGAGAGAGCTGCATCGATGGAGAGATTAATTATCCCAAGCAGCCTCTGAATCAGAGCTTTCTGAAGAGTCTGACTGCCTGCAGGTCACGGTGGAGGCTTCCGGTCCCGCCCTCCATCAGCCCAGAGGGCTGCAGGCAGAGCTGCAGAAGAGCCTCAGGGCCTCCGGCTTTAGGAACTGTCATTCCCCAGAGCTCTCACCCTGGCCCCCTCCCCCGCTGCGACTCTATATTGTGTGACTCATAACTTACTTGTACATGCTGTTAATGTCAAAGCCACAAGACCCCTGGATTTCAGGAAACTCCTTTTTCCTTGCTGTGACTGACCTTGTCCCAGTTCCCTTGAGGTATCCGTGACCATAACTCCTTATCTTACCATGTCAGTGCTGTACATTGTTTTGGGACCACACCTAGTTGTGCTCAGGGCTTCCTCCTGGCTCTGTGCTCCAGGATCCTGGTGGGGTTGGGGGTGAACCATACGAGGTGCCAGGGAGCCAACCCGGGTCGGTCATGTACAAGGCAAGAGCCCTAACCTCTGTACTCTCGCTCCGGTCCCCAATGCCATATTGTAATTGTACTGTCTGTCTCATGCTGGGTAAGAAGTCACATGCCCCACAGATGTTCTATATTAGTGCTCTTGGAACCCCTGATCGCGGGCCAATAGCCTCAGTACTGTGCCTAGCTGTGCTGTCAGGCCTGGCCAGCTGGTGTAAATAAAACCTCCTTGGTTTCCGTCCTGTCTCAGTTTGTTCGATTAACCGAACTTCTGTTATAATGATTCCACCAGGCCTTTCTTTCTGCCAGCCCAGACAATGGCCCTGCCCCCCAGGCTATAGGCTGCAGATCCACGGGAAATACACAGACAACAGTGAGTGTTGGGAAGAATCAAAGGAAGGACATTTATTCTATGTGTCGGGCAGTCTGTCAGCTGCTGGATTACTAAACGTATGACCAAGACTTCCCTCAACTTTCTAGAGACTGGGAGGTGGGGAAAGTGGAAACTTAATCTAGACAGCTCAGAGAGGGAAGCGGGACAGGGTGGAGAACAGGACCCCTTGATGGAGTGGGCACAGGACTTCTGGGAAGGCTGCCTGGAGGTGGTTCCCAACTGCAAGGATAAGTAGATGGCCATGCAAAGAGCTTCTCAGCTGAGGAATATTGGGGGTGAGGGGGGCTTGAACCTGGGAGTCTGTGTGTGTTGGAAGGGATGAAAGGGGAGATCAGGGGCAGGGAAGGGAACAAAGGAAATGTATGCCCATAAGCTTCTAAGAGAGAAAAAGACTGGGGGGTAGAGACATAATACAGCAGGTAGAGATTTGCCTTGCACACAGCCAATCCGGGCTCAATCCTCAGCATCCCATATGGTCCCCCAAGCCCTGCCAGGGATAATTCCTGAGTGCAGAACCAGGAGTAACCCCTGAGCATCGCTGGGTGTGGCCCCCTAACAGAACAAAACAGATAAACAAGAAAAAGCATCTGCGTGGCCTGTGGCCTTGAAACCTCTGGACACTGCCCTCTGGACGCTGGAATTGGACTGCAGAGGTAGCCACTCCTTTTTGGTTCTAGGGTCAGCTGGGTGGGATTTTGGGCCACCCCTGTGGTGAGGCTACTCTCCACTTGGTGCTGGGGCACTCCTGGCTGTCCCTGGGGGACCACGTATGTATTATCAGGACTGGAAGTTGGGGCCTCCTGCATGCAAAACACACACACACACACACACAGCTGTGTCCCGCCCCTGAGGTCCAGGTTTTGTCGTGATCGCTTTTGCAATGTGGTGCGGCCCCAAGGTGGGAGTGGGGGTTGGTGAACACAGAGGGACCGGTGACCTGCGCTCTCTTCGTAGGCACATCCTCCAGACTCAATATGAGAGCTGCAGTGTCTGAACCCAGGCCAGGCGGGCGCTGGGGTTGCGGCTGGAGACTGAGAAGCGTGGGGTCGGGTGAGAAGGCCGAGCTTCGTGGGGTCACGGAGCGGCCCTTCCTAGGAGAGCTCCAGGTTCTGGCGTGGCGTGGAGCTGGGGTAAGGCAGAGAAGGAGCCGCTGGCTCGCCTGTCCGCTCCGCCCTGAGCTTTTCGGCTCCAGTCCTCTTGCAATTCTGGGGGGACGAAGAAGGGGGGGCGCAAGAGGTCCTGTGGCTCGCATTTGAGCTGACTGCAAAGGCCGGCGGTTGGGGGTGTGCGCGCAGTTTCTGCTAGGTGGCACCGTGAGCGTGGCGGGTTTGGAGCAAAGAGCAACACGGCTGGGTCCATCCTTGCCCGCGTCCATCCTTGGTCCATCCTTGCCCCTTGCCCTGATGGGCGGTAAACAGGAGTCCTCAGAAACGGGGGTGGGGTGGGGGTGGAGACCTTGTCTTTCGCTCTCAGGGCGCCCTTCTTGGAGGACAACCTGCAATTTAGAGTCGCTCCAGTTCGCCCCACGGGGGCGTGTCTAAGGACGCACCCGCGCCCTCCCGTGCACCCCGCCGACCAGGGTCCCCCCCAAGGTGCTGGGGGCTGGGGGGGGAGAAAGACTTCGGGCGGCGGCGAAGGGGCGGGACCACGACATGCCCCGCCCATTGCCCCGCCCAGGACCCGCCCCGCCCCGCCCCCTGCGCACCGGCTCCGGCCGGGCCGCTGGGCTGCGGCGTCAGCTCCCGGCGGTGGCGGCGGCGCGAGCGGCCATGGAGGCGGGCACCGGGGCGGGCGCGGGAGCCGCGGGATGGAGCTGCCCCGGCCCAGGTCAGAGCCGCCTCCCATCCTCCCTCTCCCCGCCCCTCCTTCCTCTTCCCCTCCGCGCCTCCCTCCGGACCCCCACACGCCCCCCATACTCCCCCCCTCCCGTCTGCCTTCCTGCTTGCCCCCTCTTTCCGGACTAGACCGAGGGTGTGGGGGGGTCTTCCTGCAGTTGGTGCATCCTCCCCGCCTGCAGCTCTCCAGCCAGGGGCTGCTGACCGACGTGGGGGTGTTGGAGCCCGCGCCCCGCTCGGGCTGCGCAGCCGAGGGTAGGGTGCAACGGGTCCCATGGGGCGAGAGGGAGGAGAGGAGAAATACGCTGTGATGGGGGGGTGCAAATAAGGGGCTTTTCTAGAACGACCCTGCACCCCATCACCTCCTCCCAGCGCTGACCAGCTCCTTCTTGTCCTTCTGGGTGAAAGAGGCAGAACCAGTCAGCCTGGGAGGGGTGGAGGGTGGGGGGTGGGGGTGCTAGTGGGGATGCTGAGTTTGTCCAGGGTGGCTCTCTGCAGGTCAGCTTGAGGGGTGATAGGAGAGGGGGTCGCTACACAGCGGGCAGAAGGCACCAAGCACTTCCCCCAAGGGCTCCCAGAGCTGGAAGGCGTGTCCCCATCTTTCCCGGCTTCACCCCACAATCCTTTCTCTCCTGGCGGGCAGGCCCCACTGTGACCACTGTAGGCTCCTTTGAGTCCTCTGACGGCTGCGGGAGGAAGAAAGGCCAGCGCTGGGGGGCTCTGGAGCGGCGGGGGATGCAAGCTATGGAAGGTGAGTTTCTCCCCAGGCTTGCTCTCCCTCCCCTTCACCCCATTTCCCTCTCCTCCCTCTCTCCTGGGGCCTCCAGCAGTCTGGGGTGGGCCCAAGCCATTCCTCCTTTACCTTCCTTCCCCCACTTCTCCCTCCACCCCCCCCCCCCCAGCCCTGCTGGGGCTCCGGCTTTGAGTGAAGTTCAGGGTGCGTCTCTCTAGGGCCCTCATCACGTCAAGAGTTAACCAGGTTGTTGGTCTCTGGGGAGCCTCAGAGAAAGAGATTCCTTGTTGGAGCTGGAAGGCAGCTGGGTGGAGGGAGGGGGCACCCCATCCTCCGGGCCCTGCCCAGCACCCCCTCCACTGACTTCTGCAGGAAGGGAAGCATGCATGCTCTTTCTGGGGCCCCCTCCAGTTAGAAGAGGGACCCCCCCACCCCCATCTCCCCAGCTTGGGTGCTCTAGCCCAGCACTTCTCAACCTTGTTCCCACCCCAGCCGCCTTCTGACCTTGTTTCTTGTGGCTGCTTCACCGTGTCCTACTGCTTGGCCCCCTAATTTTACACTGTGGCCTCACATTTATCTAATGTCCACCTGTGGCCCCGTTGGACTATCCTGGGGGCCCACAGTGGGGAAGGTGAGGGGCTGCTTTATGGCCTGCGGTTGAGAAACACCACTCTAGGGTATCTTTCTGCCTGGCAGGAGAGGGCCTGGGGAGGGGACAACTGAACCCCATCCCACTCAGCTGGCCCGGCAGAGCCCAAGCCCCTGGAGGGTTGCTGGCTTGCTTTCCAGGACTTCATGAAGTGGCCAAAGGCCCCATGCACCCTCGCTGGGGGGCAGCTTCCACCTCCCTCAGTGATAGAGGAGCCCCTGGTCCCCAAGGAACTTTCCACTGCTCTGATTGGAAAACAAACAAAAAAAAAGACAGACCAGACGCTGGATTTTAAAGCTAAGCAAACCAGCAGCATCCAGGCAGATTTTGCTCTTTAGAGGACCTGCATTGCAGCAAGGAGGGGGTGCTCGCCAGCCAGAGGTTGGGGCGCGGCACACCCCAGCTTCTTAGTGTGATGAAATGGCAGGCTTGTTTTCCTCACATGGGTGATCCTCAGCCTCCTCCTGGAAAAGGCCATGTGATGCACAGGGGAGGAGGAGCCGTCCGCGGAGGAGAGGGGCGCCCCTGGCCTCCTGCCGCCGGCAGGGGAAAAGGCCCCTGCCTTTACCCAGTCAAACAGGTAGAATCATTATTTTGGTTTTAGTTTTGGTCCACACCCGGCAGTGCTCAGGGTTCACTCTTAGCTCTGCACTCAGGATTTACTCCTGGCAGGCTCAGGAGACCATATGGGATGTCGGGGATCAAACCTGGTTGCACTGCATGCAAGGCAAGAGCCCCTACTTGCTATATTATAGAATCATTTTATTTTGCTTAAAAGACTTTTTTACTTTGGGAGCTACACCAGGCAATGCTCAGGGCTTACTCCTGGCTCTGCACTCAGGCATCACTCCTGACAATGCTCAGGGGACCATATAGGGTGCCGGGGGATGCAGCCCAGGTCAGCCATGTGCAAGGCAAGTGCCCTACCCACCTTACTATCTCTCTAGTCCCTAGAATCATTTTATCAGATGTTTTCTCTCTAGCTACTGACAGGCAATAATTTCTTAGTATGAAAAGGCTAATTTCTCATAAGTCACCTGGCTAAGTTTTTTAGTTTCTGTTCCCCTCCCCTAAATAGTAAAAACAATTATCATTCTTTTGGGAGGCAGTGCTGGGTAGATCCTTATATGTGGAAGGCAAGTGCCCTAGCACTGAGTTCCACATCACCCCTCATTTAGCCTAATGACACATGGAGGGTGTGAACCCCACTCCCCCAGGTGAGTTGGGAAGAAGCAGGTGTCCTTGAGTGCATGTTAAAGGCAGTCACAGGAGGTCACCGGGGACAATGTTTGTCCTGAAAGGCCCAGAAGGGGCCGAACTCTCTCTGTCTGAGGATGCATCTTGAGAGCAGGTCTGGCTGGGGGCTCCTTAGGGGACAGTAGGCAGCACTTGGGGGACATCACTACCCTGGCACAGTAGGCTGGAGGATGGAGGGGGGGAAAAAGCCCCCTGACTCTGGGGAACACTCTCTCCCAGGGGAGGTGCTACTCCCAGCCCTGTATGAGGAGGAGGAAGAGGAAGAAGAGGAAGAGGAGGAGGAAGAGGGAGAAGAGGAGGATGGCCCAGTGCAGACAGGCAGCCGTGTGGGTTCCCTGTCGGTTGGCAAACACCGGGGCCTGAGCCTCACCGAGACGGAGCTGGAGGAGCTGAGGGCGCAGGTGCTGCAGCTGGTGGCCGAGCTAGAGGAGACCCGGGAGCTGGCGGGGCAGCACGAGGATGATTCCCTGGAGCTGCAGGGTGAGTGTCTGGGGGGGTGGGAGAGGGCCTGGCCCGAGGCCTGGGTGTCCCCCCATGCTGCCCTCATACCCCCGGCTCCCTCTCCCTGCAGGGCTCCTGGAGGATGAACGGCTGGCCAGCGCGCAGCAGGCGGAAGTGTTCACCAAGCAGATCCAGCAGCTCCAAGGTGACCCCCACACCTGGACTGGACAGACGGATGGACAGTCGGACAGACAGATGGACGGATGGGTGGGCGGGCAGGTGGACAGAGAGGTCAGCCAAATTCTACTGACCCAGGGTGTCACACATACCCCAGTTTTTTTTTTCTTTTTGGGTCATACCCGGTGATGCACAGGGGTTACTCCTGGCTCTGCACTCAGGAATTACTCCTGGCGGTGCTCAGGGGACCATACGGGATGCTGGAAATCGAACCTGAGTCGGCCGCGTACAAGGCAAATGCCCTACTGGCTGTACTATGGCTCCAGCCCCCCACCCCCCAGTTTAAGTTTTTTCTCCTTTCTCAATGCCTCTCCTTCCTTTCCTCTTTCTGTCTAATCTCCTATCTTCTTTCCCCCCTTTTTTTTGGTTGTTGTTTTGTTTTTGTTTTTGCTTTTTGGGTCACACCCATCGATGCTCAGGGGTTACTCCTGGCTCTGCAGTCAGGAATTACTCCTGGCTGTGCTTGGGGGACAATATGGGATGCTGGGAATTGAACCTGGGTCAGCCCAAACACCCTACTCGCTGTGCTATAGCTCCAGCCCCACCCACCGCCTTTTTTTTTTTTAATTGTTGTTGTATGATTTGGTTTGCTTTGCTTTAGTTTGCTTTGGTTTGGTTTGGTTTGGGGGCCACACCTAGTGATGCTCAGGGGTTACTCCTGGCTTTGCACTCAGGAATGACTCCTAGCAAAGCTTGGGGGATCATATGGGGATTGAACCCGGGGCAGCAGGGCCACGTGCAAGGCAAGCGCCCTACCTGCTGTACTATCGCTACTAGCCCCCTCTCCCCTTTTTTTGCCTCCCCTGCTCCCCACCTTCCTCTGCTTCACTCTTTCTTTTTCCTGTCCTCTGGCCTTTGCCTATCAGGTCCACGCCCTTGTCTCATCTGTCTCCCTTTTCCCTTGTTCTCCTGCTCAGTGCCAGGGGAGGGATCTGGATTGAAATCCAAGCTAGACTGTTGTTTCTGCCTCTCCCAGAGCACTGTAGGAAAAAGCAACATGTTCATGAGAACTGACTAGGGGGGACTCAGGGATCATTCCTGGAGCTGCTTGGGGGACCGTAAAGTGCCAGGGACCAAATCTGGGACCTCCTGCATGCAACGCCCATACACCAGCCCACTGAAGTCTCTCAAGTCCCTTGGGGCATCTTTAAGGGAAGCAGATGAGATGTTTCTCTTACCCCGCGACCAGGCATGTGATTCCCAAATCCCTCTCTTCTAGCATCCACATCCCTTTTGTCTCAAAGGATCACAAGGCCTCTCCTCCCACCCACCCCACCCTTGCACAGCACCAGCAGACAGAGAGGTGGCCTTTATTACTTCTGTGGGTTTCCGGAAGGTGTAGGGGAGCTGCCCTAGAAAACAGCAGGGACTCTCCAGGGAGAGCTGAGATCAAGCTGAAAGAAAAGTTTAAATAGAGAAAAAAGGAAGGCTGGGAAGCAGGCCTCGGGAGGAGCGAGCAAAGGTGGAGGGACAGAGGGCAGTTAAGGAGATCTAAGCAAAAGCCAATGCAGAAAAGTGGACAGTGGTGTGGGGAGGAAGAGGCAGAAGAGAGAAGCGGCAGAAGAAGGTGACATGGGGGTGGGGGTGTCTGGGCTGGGGGAGATGTGAGCATGGGTATGAGAGCACCAGCTCAGCTACTTAACAAGCATTTTTGCGATCTTGAGCAAATCCTTTGTGTCTTTGCAGGATTTGGTTTTGTATCTATAAAACAAGTGACATTTATCTCTCAGCCATTTGCTGGGTGCTGCTATACTCAGAGGACCTTAGCTATGTCTAAGACACTTTAGGGACCAGGAAGGTGATTCAGAGGGTCACCTTTGAGTGCACGCTTTGCATGCAAGAGTCCTGGTCCTTGGCGCTCTGTGGTCCTTTGAGCACTGCTGTGAGCAGTTCGTGAACACTGTCACCCATGAGCACTGCATCAGGAGTAGTCTCTGAGCCCCAGAGGTGTGTTTAAAAAAAAAACAACAAACCAGATCTCTCCCATAAGATACCATAAGAAAGTATATTCTAATAGAGTAGGGGAAAAAAAACACAACTCAAGTTCATATGGCAGTAAATGCTATAAAGATAATAGAACAGTGATAGGGTGGAAGAGGAGTTTTTCATTGTTAAATGAGAGTTAGTAAAAGCCATTTTGGAGCCAGAGAGAGAGTACAGAGGGTCAGGCACTTGCCTTGCATGTGACTGTGGTTGGCACAAACCTAATTTAAACCTCCCGGTACCACATATGATCCCCTGACACTGTCAAGGATCCTTCCTGAGCAGAGAGCCCTGAGCACAGCCAGGTGTGACCCCAAAACTCCCAAATAAAATTTTGTTTTGTAAGTTAAAAAGAAAGAAAAGGTCACTTTAGGTATTGGAGCAATCATACAGGAGTCGAAGAAGGCTTTGCAAGCCACCATCTCTGTATATGAGCACCACCAGGGGTCACTCCTGAACACAGAATCAGGAGTACCCCCTAAAATTATTGTATGGCCCCAAAACTGCCTCAGAAGAAAAGAAAAGGATTCTTTGAGGAGATGTCATTTGAGCAAAACCTGAATAATGAGAGGACCCACCCATTCAGAGATCCAAGGGAAGAATGTACCAAGCAGAAGGACTAACCGTTGCAAGGGCCCAGAGGATGAGGATGGATAGGGCGTGTTTGAAGGAGAGAACAAGGCCACTGTGGCTATGGCCTGGTGAATGTGGGGGTACTCTTGTTCTGAGAAGCAAGCCGAGACTAGATTATCAAGGGCCTTGGACAACAATTAAGAGGTTAGAATTTATTCTGAGTGTTGTGGAAGATCTTGGAGGGCCTTAACCAGGACTGGGTGACACTATTTTACATTTCTAAAAGAGCACTTGGGGTGAGGGAGAGTATATTGTGGGTAAAGCACATGCCTTGCATTGTGGCCAACGCAGATCCAATCCCTGGCACCATATATAGTCTCTTGAGCCCCACTAGGAATGATCCCTGAGCACAGAGCCAGGGATAAGCCTGGAGCACAGGCAGGTATGCTCCCGCCATGAAAGAAAAAAAAAAAAAAGAAAAAAGATCACTTTGCCCATTGCATGGAAATGGGATGGAAGGGAAACATCAGAATTGTAAGCCTGATTAGCAACTTGGTCAAGAGAAGCTGGTTGCTTGGATTGGAATAGAAATGGAGATGATTTAGAACATCATTTGAGTGTGGAGCTCTCAAGACTTGCTGAATTGGAATGGGTAATGAGATGTGCAAGATGACTTTGCCTTGAGAAATGGCATGAATGTTGGTGACGTCATTTATTGAGATGGGGATGACTTGGCAAGAAACATAATTGTGGATTAGGGAAATGTTTGAGACATGCTTTCTACAGGTCGAATTTGAAATGGCTAAGAGTAATGTAGGAAGGTGGCAGTTAAGTGTATGAAGCTAGAATCTAGGAAGAAGTCAACTGGAATGCTTAACCTGGGTGAGATTGGCATAATATTGATAGCATTTGAATGTGTGGGAGGTCATGATGTCACACAGGAAGACAGAGAAAGAGAAATGAAAAGGTCCAGTTCCTGGGATGCTCCAGAAGTTAAAGGTCAGTAAAGAAAGTGACTGAGGTAGGAGCAATTAACAGTTTCATTCCTGGAAGCCAGGAGGAGAAAATGAACTTCCAGGAGATTATGATCAAGTGGGTCCAAAGTTGCTAAGTCCAGTCTTCTGGCAAAATGGAGTGCTCTGTCATGCTTGAAATCTAGCTGGATTGGGATGGGAGTGGGAAGAGAAGGGGAAGTGGGGAAAGGGAATATGGGTGTATGGGAAGGGGGTCCGAGAGAGAGCTTTCATTTTTTTTTTCTTTTTCAGTATCTTCTCTTTTTTTGCCTTTCTGGTCCCACCCGGCGATGCTCAGGAGTTACTCCTGACTTTGCACTCAGGAATTACTCCTGGCGGTGCTCGGGGGACCATATGGGATGCCATGGATCCAATCCACGTTGACCACTTGGAAGGCTGTACGGCCCCTCAGTATCATTATTTTGTTGTCTCCCCCTACCCCATTTTTGTTGTTGTTGGGGGTAACGTACAATGCAAAAAGTGCTAACGTTTATGGGTTTTATGTACAAAATTACCGCACTTTTTACACTCCCCAAAGTGCCCAAGACCCCCTTAAAATCACTTCTAAGTTCCAGGGGAGACATTTGGAGGAATTTTTGGAGCTAAGACTCATGTTTGTGTGAAGAAGGACATGTTCCAGTAGCAAAGATAAAGATCTTTCCTCTGAGAAGGGACACCGTCTTCCTTTCAAATAGGAAGGAGGTCAGAATCTAAGTTCGGAGGGGCAGGTAGGCAATGATAACCTGGGTCCTGCTCGGGTCCTCCTCAAGCCAAATTGTGCCCCACGGCGTGGCTGAGGGTGGGGGGCGGGGTCTAGGCTGTAGCTCCGCCCCCGGGGGGAGGGGAGGCGCGGGCGCGTCCTCTTGGTGCGCGCGCATTGCCCGTTTCCGCCAAGAGGGGGCGCGCGCGGCCACAGAGGTTGCTGGCGAGAAGGCCGTTCCGGCCGCCACAGCCCCGCAGGGGCGGGGACCGGCCGGAGGCGGGAGGCCCCCCAGGGAGACCGCTTGTCGGGGGGGCCGACAAGATGGAGGCGATAAACAGTGAGTGAGAAGCGGCATCCTTGCCCACGTAGCCCGAGTCCCGGGGCCTCGGCGTCGCCCCAACGGCCCCCCCCAGCCCACGCTCAACCGGCGCCATGTCTGCCAACGCCCCGCCAGGGCTTCGCCCCGCCCCGATTTGGGTTAAGCCCCGCCCCTCGGGCCTCCAATCCCCGCCCCTTCGCCAAGGCTGCCCCTTTTCCTAATTAGCGCTTTTTTTCCTCCCCTCCCCCTTTTCCTTTTCTTTCTTTCTCTCTTTCTTTCTTCCTTCCTTTTCTTTTTCCCTTTTTATTTTTGGTCGCTCCCGGCGCTACTCGGGGGACCATGCGGTGGCAGGAATCGAACCCAGGGCCTCCTACATGCAAGGCAAGTGACTAAGGGCATTCTTAAGGCTGAGGGAGACCCATCTTTGACCACTTTTGGGTCCAGAGCCTCAGGACCCTAAGGAGACCTGAACCCTAACCTCCAGAGTGCATTAGGGGAGTTGCCGTGGATCTAAGCCTCTCCCTAGGCTTGAGGGCCGTGGTCATATACCGGTACCAAGAGCCCCTCACTTGAATAATGGGGATGGAGCGAGGACCTTCCTTCCTTTCAAACTGGAAGGGCGTCAGAGATTCTTAAGTGGTGATGCTAGTGCTTGGCCCAGAGTAGCTGAGTCAGTTCATTCTTGAATAGACCAAAAAGAGGAGACAGCTTGGGTCATTCCAGACAAGGAAGAAAGTGAGGCCCTGTGTTCGAGCCCCTGCCCCGGGAAGGGGAGCAGATGGGGGGGGGGCAGGGGAGAGGAGTAGACCTTGGTTTTCTTTCTAATTAATATATCATGGAAAACCATTCACATCTTTAGAGAGCTGCCACTTGCTTTCAAATGGCTACATGAGAATCGGCTGGACCATTCCGTCCTGAACCAACTCGCAGGCTCTTTGCCCATGTTTGGTCTCATACAGTGAACCTACCTTTGAATTCAGCTGGGCACTCTGGATACACACTGTACTGGAGGCAAGCTCAGGGGGACGCCAGGGCCCTTAGGTTCTCTGTTCTCAGATTGAATAGATAATGGTCTCTGTACCCTTTAGTCAAGGAACTTTTGGAAAAATCTCAGGGTGGCAGTCTGAATAGCATCAACTAGGTTTCGTCGGTAACTGGGCTATTCTTTAGAAGCACTAAGTATGTTGTTTGCTGCAGTCAATCCCAGGCTGTGCTTTTGGTGCCAGACCTCCAAATCTACTTTTCCTCTGTTCGTACTACACGGATGGGGTAGAGACTATATTGTCAGGAGTTATTATCAAGCAGAAGTCTCCTTTTTAACTTTGCACTCCCGGGATGTGCTCGTTTGCCCACTCTTATGCTCTCGATCCTCTTCATTTCTGGGCATTTCAGGTGAAATTCGATCTCTCCGGGAGGAGATTTCCTTGTTAGAGCGTGAGAAACAAATTGAACTTAAGGAAATAGAGCGGGAGTTGCACCTGGCCCAGGCTGAGATCCAGACTCTGCGGCAAGCAGCGGAGGATTCAGCGACCGAACATGAGAGCGACATCGCGTCCCTGCAGGAGGATCTCTCCCGGATGCAGTCGGAGCTGGACGACATGGACCGCATGCGGGGGGAGTACGAGCTCGAGATCGCCTCCCTCCGAGCGGAAATGGAAATGAAGAGCAGCTCTGGGGGTGGATCCAATGATTTAAGCGTCTCTGATTTCTCAGAGATGCAAGGTAGGAGAAGTCAGGCGGAGGGGAAGTGGAGCAGAGGGAGATGTGGGAGTACGCAACAAGATGGTGGGAGTTGGGAGTCTCTAGAAAAAGCTTCTCGGCTAAAGTTGAGCTTGCCCAGAGGTCTCCGAACCAGTCCATCCATAGTAGTGTAAGAAACGGTACCTCGGGGATCAGGGAAGTGGTCAAAGGGCTGGAGCATACTCTTTTTTTTTTTGCCTTTGGGAGTCCCAGGTTTGATCCTTAGCACCAGAGGGTCACCCAGCAGTGCTGGAAGTGACCCCAAAATAAACAAAAAGTAGCACCATGCAATGTACCCTGAGGCTTCAACTCTCCTTGGAGACTCACTCTGCATTTGCTGCTGTGACAATGAGAAAGCCCTTTCTGGGAAAAGTTCCAGTTCTGGGACAGGAGTAGAGGGCCTGTCACCTTGGCAGGCATTGCTGCTGCCCTGGCATTATGGCGCTTTGCCTGGACCAATGAAGAAGGCGGGAGGTGGAAAGGGGTGTTACTCCCAGGTCCCAGGATGCCGCTGCTAGGCTTCCTTAGCCCTCCCCAACATAGAAATTTGGAGAACCAACAAATCGAAGTCCAAGATAGCTGGAGAGGAAGAGAAGTTATTTCCAGTCATGCACGAGGAACTCAAAAGCTCAGTGCTCTACTTCTGGGCAGAGTCTCACAGCTAGTTGCTAGGATTTGTGACATCAGAGCCTGCCTTTATTCTGAAGTGAGATTTATGATCGGGGACGAATGGGAGGCCCTGTGTTAGGCCAGGTCAAGCAGAGACAGGCAGCTAGGAGTCAAAGAGTTGCAGTTTTTCCCAGCTATAACAGAAGAGCCTTTGGACCAGTGCTGCCTGACGCTGGCATGAAACAGAACACCAATTTGACTCCACTGAGCAAGCCGGAAGTACTGGTCTAGGATTATCTCTGGTTATTGACTGTGAATCTCACAATTTCCCTCTCTGGACTCACTGGTTCTGCCTCACTTTGCAGCTACCTCAGGTTCCACAATAGGAAAAAGAATTTGGGGACATTATAGAGAAGTATGAACAAAGTGTTGAATTTAGTTTAATGGCACAACTAAATTCATTACTAGGGGCCTGAGAGATAATATAGTGGGCAAGGTCCTTGCCTTGCATCCTCAGTTTCTGATACGGTCTCCAGAGCCTGCTAGGAGTGATTCCTGAGCGCAGAACCATAAGTAAGCCCTGAGCACTTCCAGGTGTGCCCCAACAAACAACATAAATAAATATGTTACTAGCCTCACAGCCAAATATATAACAAATGTTAATGACAATGGGAAGTAAGTGGAAAATTCTCTCGGGGAATTCTGTACAGGAATTCTTCGAAAATTATTCCAAATGAAAAGCTGGTTTATTTTTGTTTTTGTTTTTAAATCTATACTTTACTTACTTTTCAGTAAGTTTAAATCCTTAAGGGGTACAGCATCACAGGATTCTGTGACCAGTTGCCTTAGCAGGAAAGTTGCTTTGGAATTTGGCTCAAACTAGGCACTGTTTCCATGGGTACGAGTTACTTTTCCCCAGATCACTCTGGTTTTGTTAGGTTTATCACCAGGAGTCACTGTATTGTTCTTTGCTTTGTCCACGTAAGCACATTTCTTGCCCAGATAGAATTCAGTTCCATCCCGAGCATAAACACCTTCAGTTTTAAGGAAGAGCTTGTGTGCTCCCTCTGGTTCTGAAGACCCCCACTGAGACCCAGCATAAAAAAATGGCTTTGGACCACGCAGCCTTCCTGCTGTTCCTGTCGTTGAGTGAGTCCAGGCCTCCAGGGTCCAGCATAGCAGAGAGAGACTCCAAATGAGAAGCTTATTTAAAGTGGGGAGAGGCGGGGAGAAGCCCGGCAGAGATAAGCTTGGTGTTCTGATTAGAGCAGATTAGCATTCCTTAAGTATCAGTTAAATTGGCCTCTGCGAGGAAAAACTGTGGCTCTTGAAGAAACAAAACAGATGTGGATGGAGGCATCTGATGGATCAGTTAGCTTTGGGGACATTGTCTCCACTGTCTCTTGAGGAAAACACCAGGGTCTATTTGGGAAGGACTTTTCTGACAGCAGAGAAGAGATGGCCCCAGGGAGCCGTCTCTGGTGGGTTCTGGGTTCGTTGTGGAGATAAAGGACCAGGCTGTAAAGGCAGATCCAGAGAGGAGGACTGAGAGGGTGACAGCAGCACAGCCCCACAGCTCAATTTTTTTTTTTGCACTAAACGCAAAATAGAAAGGGGATCACAGGTGGTTCCATGGAAAGGAAAAATCCAAAAGTGTCACTCTGCCCGCACAAACCCCAGCCATCCCCGAACCTGCCCAGGTGTGGGTGTTTCGAGGAAGTGCTCTCAGGGCAGATCTGGGAAGATGCGGAGCCAGGGCAGGGACCCGAAAGAGACGAACGCCTGGTGCAGTGTGGAGAACTCCCAGGGCCCCAATTTCCAAGCCTCTGCCTCTGGCCTCCCTTCTCACTTTTTTTTTTATTGGCTTTTTTTTGCGGTCACACCCCAGCAATGCGCAGGGGTTACTCCTGGCTCAGGAATCACTCCTGGCAGTGCTCGGAGGACCATATGGGATACTGGGAATCGAACCTGGGTCTTTCGCATGCAGGGTAAACGCCGTACCCACTGTGCTATTCCTCCGCCCCCTCCCCTTCTGACTTTTAGAGCCAGGAGGGCTGGCAGGCAGCGCTTTGCTGCCCAGGGCCTCACCGGTCTCTGCTTGTTTCCTGGCAGAAGAACTGCAGCAGCTGCGGGAACGCTACCACTACCTGAATGAGGAGTACCAGGCCCTTCAGCAGAGCAACAGCAGCCTCACCGGGCAGCTGGCGGACCTGGAGAGTGAGAGGTACCCCTGGGAGGCAGTTAGGGGTGTGGGCGGGTGCTGCCCTGGGCCTTTTTTTTTTCCCCTGAGAAGGGCCTATGGGAGGGCAGATGCCAGGCTCCTGAACTCGGGTCCTTTGCATAGTGTCCAATGGGCACGGGACACTGTTGAGGAGGAGCAGATGGTGGTGGGGGGTGGAGTAGAAGCGGGGGAGGGCTCATGCCTCTTGTCTCTGCCCTGAGTCTCGAAATTTAGCTTTCTCCCATCCTGACCACCGGGGACTGGCTGACTCTGCTCCAGAGCTGACCAGAAGCAATTCCTGGGCCAGGGGAGGTGGCACAAAGGGCTGAAGCATGTGCTTTGCATGAGAGAGCCCTGGGCTTGATCCCTGGCACCACACAGTATCCTGAGCATTGCAGGGAGTAAGCACTGCCCAGTGTGGCCAGCCCACCAAAATAAAAGAACAAAATAGGAACTGATTTCTTTGTTGTCTGTACACACTTGGTTCTGTCTAATACCAAATGCCTCCACCTTAGGACTTACTCAGTGTGACTAGCTTTCTTTTATTGATTTTTTTGGCCTTTATCTGTTTTTTTTTAAATTTTTAAAGATTTTCTTTGGTTTTTGGGCCACAACCAATGGTGATCAGGGCTGATTCCTGGCTCTGTGCTCAGGGATCACTCCTAGCAGGGCTCAAGGGGCCATACGGGGTACCAGGGATTGAACCCAGACCTGCCTCGTGCAAGGCAAGCACCCGTCCTGGTGTGCTATCGCTCTGGTCTGAGATCGGCACTTTTAGGTTCCCTTCCTCACTGCCCACCCCACACCCCCACCCCAGCCAGATGTAACAGATGGAAGGACCGAGGACTTTTTTCCTTATAATCGGCAAAGCTTGGTTGTCGCCTGTGGAAGGCTCCTTTCCTGCTTTTTTTTTTTTTTTTTTTTTTTTTTGCCTGAAGGGAAGGCATCAGGACCAAGCATAACTTGGCAGCTGAGGCCAGCCTGAGCTTGTTCCCAAACGTGGCCTTGGGGTTCTGGCTGACAGGACACGAAGAGCAACAGAAAGGTGGCTAGAGTCCCAGACCCTGCGGTGCACGGCGTCGGCGGAGTCTCAGACTCTAGAGATGGACTTCCTGGAGCCGCATCCCGAGACCCATTCGTTGCGATTGAAGCTGGCGGGCGCCGAGGAGCAGATGCACCACATGCAGAACAAGGTAGGGACAAGCGGGCGGGCCGAGCCGGGCTGGAGCGAGTGCTCAGGGGTCTGGCCCGTCCGGGGTTGGTGGTTCCATGAGCCGGTGGGATTTGGGGGGGGGGGGAGTGTGTGAGACGGTCTCCCGCCCGCCAGTGTAAGGAGCTGTGCAGTGAGTTGCAAGAGCTGCAACACCATCGCCGGTCCAGTGAGGAGGAGCAGAAGCGGCTGCAGCGGGAGCTCAAGTGCGCGCAGAACGAGGTGCTCCGGTTCCAGACCTGCCACGACATCAGCCAGGTAACCGCGGCGGGCCGGCTGCTGGGGCCTTGGGGGCGGGCGGGCGGCCGGGCCCCTGCCCAGAACGGGCTGCTGCTGCTGCTGCTGCAGGGGTGCTGGAAGACGGTGCGAGCCACACCTGCTCGCCCCCCTCCGCCCCCACCAACTGAAAGCGAAGCTGTGGAGCACCGGGTCTTAGGAAACGGCGGCTTTCACCTGAGTGGACGCCCTTCATGAAGACGCCGGGTCTGAGACTCGCGGGCGCACCTCCACGTGTCGGCACCAGCACCGGAAAGCATATGACCAGACGTGGTAGCGGGGGTCTCCTCCTCTGTGCTGGAGAGTCACGCGCCTGCCCACATCCTCCCGCCACAGAACGAGGAGCTGCGGAACCGACTGTGTTGCCTGCAGCAAAAGTACGACACGAGCCAGAACGAGCACAACGAGCTCCTGAAGGTGCAGATGCAGCTGCAGGCTGAGGTGCGGCAGCTGAAAGCCGCGAAAAGCCCCTGCCCCGTCAGCGACCTCCATAATGAGAAGGTAACGGCAGCCGAGTGCAGTCCCGAGGGCTCGGGGAAGAAGGGGCTCAGAGGCAAGAGGCCCCGTGGCACCGTGGGGGAGAAGCCCCTCAGCCCAGGTGAGGCCGAACCACCACCACCACCACCACCAGCACCCAGGGCGTCGGCAGGCCTGGCGGAGCCCCTCAGGCAGGAGAGTGAGCCAGTGCAGGGTCCCCCGAGATCCTGCCCAAAGCCCTCCTCCGCCGCAGGAGTTAATGTGCCGGATCCAGCGGCTGCAGACCCAGTACCAGAATGTCTTATGTGAGAAGGAGAAGCTGCTGGAAGTCCAGCAACAGCTGCGGGCAGACCTGCGCTACCATGAGGCCGAGTTGCAGCGACTCAAGGACCTGGTGATCTGTCTCCAGAGCAAAATGGAGAAGGTAAAGGCCATGCCAGGTGAGGGGGCGCGGCCACGTGGAGCCGTGTCTGTGGAGTCGGCTACTGCGTCCTTGCAGGCGCGGGGCAGCCTGAGGGCTCTGGTGCCCTCAGCTCCCTCAGTTTTGGGGGTGAAAGTCTGCCTCTGAAAAGGAAGCGCCAGAGCCAAAGAGGTTAAGTCCACTGACCTTGCACACAGCTGACTCAGTTCAATCCCCGGCAACCACACATAGCCCCTGGAGCAACACCAGGAGCGATCCCTGCACAGTCAGGAGCGAGCCCTGAGCACTGCTCTTGTCACCCCAAAAATGAAATACAGAAAAAGCGCCTTCCCCTTCCCACCTCTCAAGAAAGGAGCCCCAGAAGGTCTCTGCCTGCCGTCTGTGAGGAGCAAGTCCTTCTTGGTTGCCATTTTAGGGAGTTATATTCGGGAGCTAGGGAGGTGATGGTAGGGTCCCCCGCAACATCTTACCTGAGAGGTGAGGGCCACCTGCCCTGACGGTCTCCTCCCCGCCCCAGTACTTAGAGGTGCAGGCCCAGCTGCAGGAGATGAAGAAGCTGTACCACTGCACCAAAGAAGAGCTGGAGCGGCAGAAGCACATGTACAACCTGCTCGACCAGGACTACCTGCTCTGCCGCCAGGAGCTCACGCAGCTCAGGAACGCGTTTCCCATTCCAGAAGAGAGGTGTCCTGCTAAGGTAACGGGGACCGGAGCCAAAGAGGACACCATCCACCCCTGGGGCCCCACGGGCTCTGCAGTGGAGGGGCAAGGCCAGAAAGAGGCGGAAGCCCAGCTTGAACTTGAAAACAGTCAGCCACCACCTTGACTTTGAGCCCAGCCACGGCTTTGTAGGACCCAGTACCTTTGGCGCCTCTCTGATCGCTTGAGGACATATGACCCCACACTGTGTGAACCCTTCTACATCGGGCTTCATGCTGTCGGTCGTGGAGAACAGCCTGTGCGTGGGTCTGCACGTCCAGATTCTGTTGTTAGGGCTAGAAAGTGGAGGTCTGGTTTTCTGGGGCCAGTTGCAAATGCCCTTGTTGAAGGCGGGCTCCCGTGCAAGGCTGCCTGGGAATCAGAAGGACCCAGGCTCTAGGCTCTTTCGGGGTTTCATCTGAAATGCCAGAGAAATTGAATTCTGTAAGCTGCAATCCTGCCCTTCTTAAAATTAACTGGTAGTACTCCTCTTCTCCTCCTTTGAGTCATCACTCCTGGTAGTGACGAATAAAGCCTTGCTTGTTTTCTCTTTTCCATAGTGTGCAAAATGCCAGTTGTCAGTTAGCCTGAGTGGAGCACTTTCAGCTCCACTGAAAGCTGATAGGTCACGGATAGGAAATGGAAAGATGTGACAGCGAGAGGGAGGAAAGGCCCAGGATTTTCCAAAGATGCTAGTGAACATTTAGCACAGCAGGTAGGGCATTTGCCTTGCACGCGGCCCACAGGGCCCACCCGGGTTCGATTCCTCCGCCCCTCTCGGAGAGCCCAGCAAGCTACTGAGAGTATCTCGCCCACACGGCAAAGCCTGGCAAGCTACCCGAGACGTATTCGATATGCCAAACACAGTAACAGTTGTCACACTGGAGACGTTACTGGGCCCGCTCAAGCAAGTTGATGAACAACGGGAGGACAGTGACAGTGGATAGTTAGAACTGGACATTCAGCAAGAGTATTCAATGGCACCTGCCCTAGCCAGCAGCAGGCTGTGTCCCCAGGGCAAGGCCCCCAGCAGAAATTCAGGCAGGTGATTTGGGCCACCCAGTAGCCTGCTGCCTTTCTGTAGCTGGCTCCCAGCTCTCCTGTCCTTTACTCCCATGTGTCTGAGGGCCCAGGGGGGTCCACGACTTTCTCATCACTTCCTCTCCCAATGGATGAGATGCACGGGAGAGGTCTGCCATGTACGGAGACAGCTTTTTCTCTGCCATTGGTTTGCTATTAGAAGATTTAGGTTTAGGAAATTGTGAGATTTAGTCTTCTCAACCCCAAGCCAGCAATTGCTCATACTCTGGTAAAGATTTTACAAGAGGATTCTGGAGCCCCACGTGGCAGGGGTAGATCGGGTTGAAATTAAGTCCTTATTTGTAGGGAGTGGACTTAGGTATAAAAACCCATGGAGATCATGAAAATAATAGAAACCAGAATTCTCAGCAGGGTGGAAAAGGGAAGGAAAGGAAGGAAGATGAGAAGGGAGGGGCCGTTGTTGACATTCTTTCTGTAACTGCCCTCGAAAGGGCCAAGTAAGGACTAGAGAGAGAGTACAGGGGTTAAAGCACTTGCCTGGCATCTGGTCTAATCCTGGCACAGCAAATGGTCCCCAAGCACTGCTTGGAGTGACCCTTGAGCACTGCCTGGAAATGGGACGAGTAGACGAAAGGTAGATCCCACAGAGCCATCCCCCAGACCCAGGGGGTGGGGAAGGGGGCATGGGGTGGACCCATCAGGGAGGAAGACCCTAGCAAGCAGCAGGAACGCTCAGTGCTCTGCTTGGAGCACGGGGCAGGGGAGTTCTCAGGGAGACTTAGTGAGTAACCGCCGCTCCATGCCCACCTGTCCACAGTGCGAAGCCTTGCTAGGCAGGCTGACAGAGTTGCAGGATAAGTACAAGACCAGCCAGAAGGAGATGGGGAAGCTGCAGATGGAGCAGTGCGAGCTCCTGGAGGACCAGAGAAGGATGCAGGAGGAGCAGGGCCAGCTGCAAGAAGAGCTGCACAGGCTCACAGTGCCCATGCCCAAAAGCGGGTTCTTGAATAAGGTAACACAGTCGGGAGTGGCCGCTGACCTTGGAAAAGCTCCTCTGAGAAGCGTCCCAGGAGGCACGGCGAGTAGGATGCACACCAGGGTGGGGATTGAGCCTTGGCTCCGCCAGCCACGCCTCACTCTCTTCCCGGCTCTTCCAGCCAGAGAGTGCCGTGGAGCTCCTTAGGGTTTTCACCTGAAAGTGCGTTGTACACTCCGGTGTCGGTCCAGCATTTCACTTGTTGGAGACTTAAGTCCATCTGGAGAAAATGTACCTCTTGGAAGCACTTAACCAACTCCAAACTCCGTCCCGACACCAGTGATCACTTCCCCTTCCCAGATGGGCTGCGCAGAGCCAGCCGAGGTGCTAGGGCCAGGACGCGGGCGTAGGCCTTTGCCCGTAACCACCGCCGTCCCCGCCTCCTTCCTTCCTTCCACCCAACCTCACAGAGTCAGCAGCTCCTTACAAAGTTACAAGACCTGGGGGAACTCCAGCTGCACTACCAGCACATGCAGGACGAGCAGAAAAAACTGATGCAGAACCAAGACATGGTACTGATGGAACAATTGGAACTGCAGGAGGCGCTGCTACAGCATAAAGACTCTCATTTCCAGGATATGCTGGATCATCCTGACGATGGCAGATCACCCAAGTCGCCCAAGTGTGATCAGAACAAGGTAACCATAGGAAGAGGCAGGGCAACGGTTCCGGGGCCCTCCCCAGGAGGGTCAGGGAGAGGCGAGTCAGGAGGCCCCGCTCCTCCCTAGCATCCCCACTCCCCAGGATCCTGAGGATATGGGGACAGCGCCCTGAGGGCCTCACACCCAGGTGTTCCCCTGAAGCACCGGCTTCACCTTAGCATGGAATGACCTGGACCCTGTGTTCTGCTGATCATTTGACTCGGCCCCCTCAGCACATCATTTCCAGCATCTGTAGTAGCGCTGAGTGTCGGTTGGGCCTGACCACACTGGCCCTCCTCCGCGCCTGAGCCGGTTGATCGTTGGGAAACCTGCTGCCCAGCCATCGGGACCACGTGCCTTTTTTTTTTTTTTTTTGGCGTGCCGCATGAGAGTGGGGCGGCCCAGCCCACACTCTTCTGGAAAGAATTTCTGGCGTGTGGGATGGGGTGGCAGGGACTGTCTTGACTCCCTGGTCTTCAGGGAAACTGTCACAGGAAGAGCAAGGTCACAAGGGTTAGAAGGGAGAATGAATGACATCTCAAGCACTCATAAAGGGTTTTGCCTCTGCCCTGACACTGGTGGAGAGTTCCATACACGTGTGTTCGGAGTTGGCAATGAATTTGCTTTGAGGTCTCAGTCTGGGCAAGGAAGTGCAGGTGGACGGTTTCCATGGAGAATCTCTTCATTCAGAAGAGTGGCCTGGATGGGAGAGGCAGGGATAGCAGACACCCAAACTGTGGTTCGGTCAGAGGCCCGTGGGGGCACTAGCCAGACTGAAAGCGCAGGTAGCACCAAGACCAGGAACCAAGTAGGAACTCTTCTCTCCGCTGGTCAGGTCTCATCCTGGCTATCCTGGGATAATGGGCCCAGAGGCCAGGCTGGGAATTGGGACAGGAGGTGTCTATCAGCACCTCAATTCCAAGCCCTCTCCTCATGAAGGAATCACTAGGCTCTCACTCAAACCTGGATTGAATTGGGGAGATGGGCAGAGGGACTGAATCCAGTTAGGATCAGAGAAGGTTGGGGGAGGGAGCCTCAGATAATCAGCATGGCTCCGAGGGGAGAGAATGGAGGAACCAGGAGCATCTGGTTCTGGGAGGCCCAGAAATGGCTGTCACCGCGGCCCCCATCCCAGAAAGACTTTTCCCCCAAGAGCAAGAAATGGACACATCCACCTGTGGGCTCGGGTCAAGCCAGAGCCCATGAGACGCAGGATGTCTGGGCAGACTAGAGTGTGTCCTCGAGCCCCGGAGGCTGGCGGGCACCATCTAGAGTTCATGATCCCGCCCCCCCTCCTCCCCCCACCCCCGCAGACCAAGATGATCATGGCCCAGATTCAGAGCCTGCAGGGCCTGTACGAGCACGGCCACCAAGAGCAGCTGAAGCTGCAGAAGGAGCAGGGCCGGCTCCTCGAGGAGCGGAAGAGACTGCAGGCCGACTTGCAGCTGTGCATGGAAGAGATGCAGCAGCTCCAAGGGCAGTCCTCGGGGAGAAACTCCCTGAGCTCGGAGGCCTCCCAGGAGGCCCAGAAGATCATCCCGGACTCCGAGAGCTACCAGCGCAGCTACGCAAGCGACACAACCAGTGAGGAGAACTTCCTCAAGAGCTACGAGAGCAGCTCCAGTGCCGTGGAGCCTGGGGACAAGGCGAACCACGGCGTGGTCTACCAGACGAGCTACGACAGCATCCAGAGCTCAGAGACCTCGCGCAAGAGCTACGCCAGCAGCAACTCTGAGGTGGAGGCCGACGCAACTGCCGCCGCCGAGCCCGAAGAGATAGAGGTAAAAATAGCGGCCAGGGCAGAGAGGCTCTGGGTTCGGTCAGAGACCCGGAGGGACGCCGGAACGTCTCCGCCCCCACCGTCTTGGCGCTCCTCTGAGAAGAAATCCAGGGCAGCTGGTGTGTGTGTGGGCAGGGAGTGGGGGTGGGGGGGCGGTTGGTCCTGGGGCTCCTCAGGTTGTACCTCCAAGGACGGGCGGAACCAGTCGAGCAAAGTGGAGGACCCCAGGTGGCTCGAGATCGGGGGCCGTCATCCCTGCCCTGCCCTCCACAGCACTTTGAGGAGGTGGTGGCCAAGGTGCTGATCAAGCTGCAGACGGTGCAGGCCATGTACCAGCTGAGCGAGGAGGATCATGCCGAGCTGCAGGAGCGGATGGAGAAGCACCTGTGCCAGCAGAGGCAGCTGCAGGAGGAGCTGGACGCCTGCGAGAGGGAGTTCAAGGAGTGCATGGAGTGCCTGGAGAAGCCCTCCCAGAATGACAAGAATGAGGTAACGGCGCCCCAGGCAAGAACGGGCTGCACCCCGCGCCGGCCCGGGCAGGCTGCTGCGTGGCCGCTGGGTGTTGGGTTGCCGAATAAGACCCCCACATCCGGCTCCGCCTTTTCCTCCCCGCCGCCCTGTCTTCACACTGCACCCCAGAGGACTCCCGGAGAGGGGACTTTGCTCGCTACTGGGATTCTTCGCCCACCAAACCAGAGACCCTGCAGGGGCAGGGGTGGGGCTCCTCCCTCCCGGATCTCCTCATGCCAAGAAGAGTGTGCCGTGCCCCCCGGGAGGGAGATGCAAGGCACAGTGGTCTCTAGCCAAGAGCAGCCTGCCGTTGGCCTGGGGAGGTCACTGTGGCCTGGACTGGAGAAAGAAGGGCCCAGAGCCCACGATTGCTCGGTGCCAGGGTCATTGGAACCAGAGGTACAGGCCCAGACCTGGAACTTGCTTCTGACGCCAGGGCCAGATGCGGGAGCCCTGCCCCACGCTCCGCACGCATCCTTTAGGCTGATGTTGCCCCCAGGGGCCGTGCTCTGCCGAAGGGTGGGTTCCCATCAGAAGGAGCTCTCGGCCACCACCCCAAGGTGCCTTTGTTCCCTAGACAGCACCCGCTCCCCACCCATCACTCCTCCCGGGCCTGGAGCAGAGCCTGTCGGGGTGGCAGTGAGCGCGGCTGCAGACTGGGCCGAGGGTGACAGTGTCTCCACTGCCCACAGATCAAAGAGCTACAGGGCAAGCTGCGGGAGCTGCAGCTGCAGTACCAGGCCAGCATGGACGAGCAGGGCCGCCTCCTGGCCGTGCAGGAGCAGCTGGAGGGGCAGCTGCAGTGCTGCCAGGAGGAGCTGTGTCAGCTCAGAGAGCAGCGGTCCTCTCTCACCAAGGAGAGGACCTGCCACGAGAACAGGAACAAGAACGCCAGCGGGGCCAAGGAGAAAAAGGCCGCAGACAAAACGGAGGCCGACTGTGAGGATGGAAAGGTGAGTGGTGGGCCCAGGAGCACCCAGGGCAGGGGAAAGGCAGAGGAGACATCTGGGAAGGAGCCCTGTGGCCCACCTCCTGGCCAGGTAAGGTGTCGGAGAAAGAGAAGCTTCTGGAAGTGCCGCGGTAGCTAGAGGAGCCTCGTCGCATCACGAGTCTGGCCCTTCTCCCCTCTTGCTGCGACATTGAGGGGAGAGCGGAGGACAGAGCCCCCCCTCCCGCCCACTTGCGGGGATGACAGCCCCAGAGCCCCACCACTGGCGCGCCCGTTCTTCTGGGGCCACGTGGATCGAGAGAAGCGTGCGTGGAAGGCACTTGTGTCCTGAGCGGTGGAGGAAGGTGGGGTGGACAGGACGGAGCCGCGGCGCGCAGTGACAGCGCCCCCACCCGGCCCCGCCCCTGCCCCCGCCCTGCAGAATCTGGAAGTGGTGCTATACTACAAGGCCCCTCACATGGACAGCAAGAAGGCGGAGAACGAGGAGTGTGCCGAGGAGTTAAGCACTTCGTACGTGTCAGACACGGACTCCGAGCGTTCGGAGTGCGAGTCCAAGCAAGACCTGGGCCCTTGCCCTGACAAATCAAAGAAGTCCGTGTGCAAGGACCTGGTCAGGACCTGCAAGGACAACACCAAGGCCCAGGAAAACTCTCTCAAAATATGTGAGAGCAGAAAGGTAACGGCGCCCCCAGGTGGGCCTGCCCCCTCCCACTGCCCCACCCCACCCCACCCCAGGCACTCGCTGGGGTACTGGGGGCCAGCAGGTCTGAGGATAAGGAGGAACTTCTCCAGATCTGAGGGCAAGGAGCCCCTCCCAAGAAGAATTGGGGCCACCAGTGTGGGGCCCATCTCTCAAAGGCCTTTGCTAGGCACCGAGGCAGGTGTGTGTGTGTGTGTGTGTGTGTGTGTGCGTGTGTGCACGCACGCACGCTTGTGAGCATGTGTGCACGTGCCTTTGGTGACATCAGAGCACTTCTGTGGCCTTCCTTCTCCCTCAGCACTGCTCTGAGGACGTGCACAGCATGGCCTTTCCCGGGCCCTTGCCACCAGCTGAACAAGGCCCTATGGCCTGTTTGCCATATGGGTCTAGAGAGGCTGGGATCCGTCATTGGGCCTGAAGGCCAGGGCTGGGGTAGCTGGTTGTGTGTCCCTGCAGCAGGTCACACTGACCAGACATAGCCCCAGCGCTATAGTTGCTGAATCCTGAAAGGTGGTGGAGTGTGGGTGTGTTGGGGGGGTGGGGGGGCAGGAGGGTTGCACATCCTGGGTAATTCACCAACTAGACAAATGTATTTCTGCATTTGCATGACTGGTGCATCTGTCTGAGCGGCGGAACACCAGCCCTGGTAGAGGTTAGCTGGGACCCCATTTCCAGGCGAGCTGCTCTCTGTCTCCACCCAGGAACAAAACAAAGTCTCTGAGGGGGGAGATGCCCTGGCCCTCTGGAAGCACATGTGGGACTTTGGGTTCCGTCTGTCCTGCTGGATCAGCATTTTATCTGTGGCTCTCTAGTGACTTTTGGGCAGGGGACCGTCACAGCGCCCAGGAATGAGAAGTGCCTGCCACCACTGCTTTTGAGAATTCTCAGCTCGCCTCGTTCCCCTACCTGCTGGCTCAGAGTCACCTCCATTCCCTTGCCTTGGGCGCCACATTTCTAAACGCCAGGGCTGCGTTTTCTCCTGCCCAGTCGAGTACCTGGCCTAGTTGCATACACGTACGGAGGGATCCCCGGTGGTGCCTGCGGGGCCTGGATCCGGGGCAGCCCATTCCTCGGTCGTGACCCGGGGACCCATGCCTGCCATTTCACTTCCTGTGTCTTTGTTGGACCGCAGCAGGCCTAACACTGGCCCCCAGGGACCAGTCACAAAAAACAGGGCCCAGCACCCACCACTTGCATGGGAGACCGACATTCCCAAGAATGACTGGAAGTGTTCCTCCTCCAGTGCCCTCAAGCTTGACTCGGGGGGTCTCCTTGTCCAGAGTGGCGGCCTGCCAGAGGGCCTGGTCACAGAGAACTGCTTGGCAGGAGATAAGGGGGTTCCCGCAGCCTGATTGGGAGCCCAACTGCCCCTTCCCCATCAGGTTTTGCCTCCCAGGAGGCTGCCAGCCAGGCGCGCAGGGACCAGGGAGTGGAGAGAAGCAGCCGCCACCGCTCTGCCTTACCTGTGGTTTAACCCGTGGTCTCTTTCTCTTTCCCCTTTGTTTTCTCATCCTCATCCTCTGTTGGATTCACGTGTCTGTCTTTTTATGCCATCGCTCATCTCCCGGTCTCTCCTGCTGCTTCCTCACTTGCTGTGTCGCAGCCGTCCCCTGCCCCCGACCCCCCCATCTTCTCCTTGCCTCTCGTAGGCCTCGTGGTCATCTCGGCTTTGCTCTGGTGCTGGTGGGCGGAGACCTCATCCTAACGCAGGTACTGGTATCACATTCCTCTGCGGCTCCCTCGCCGATGGGGCCCAGGCAGGATGCCCTGGCCTTCCCCTTTTCCCCTGTCCCTTCGGCTGGCCACCGACATCTCGCTTCCGGGACTTGATGACCAGGGATGCTTGAGTCTCCAAGCTGTAGTTCCGGCTTTTCCTGGGGTTCTGGCTTTTCCTGAGACTCCGGCAAAGCCTGCCACGTCCGTGACACGTGTCCGTGACAGCGGAAGAGTCGGGATCCTCACGGCTGCTGTTCTTGGAGCTTCCCCACCGCTTCTGATATGCCCAAGATGGCCTGGGCCGCCCTGGTGCTCCTTCCGGTGGTGAAAATCCTAAACCCAGCTCTCTATCATGCCACCAGGATGGCACGTTAGGGAACCCCATGCCTCCCCCACCAGGTGAGGGGGCGGGCTGGGGTGCTGTCAGACAGGTGGGCACCTCTGTAACGAGGGCAGAACTGAAAACCCTTTAGGCTCTCCTTCTTTAACTAGAAAGTTCTCTGGTTCAGGGACTTCCAGTCTCCAGAGAAAAGTCAGAAGAAGAATGGCAGGAAGTGTTTTCTGGTTCTTGGTATATATGCCTTTGGAGGGCAGATTGTGTTATCAGGGGCTTCCCAAAGGAGGCTTCCTGGGGAGAATATATGCTAGTGAGAAGTTTGTATGAGCAGAGGTACTGAGGGAACTGAGGCGATCGCTTCCAGGCACCTTCCCCTTAGCCTCAGTCCACATGCTCTCACGGTCACCAGGCACCACAGCTCAGAAGGCAAAAGGCAGACTTACGGTGCGCAGTAGAACTCCACCTTTCTTCCAGAAACCCCTAAACTGTTCTCTCAGCCTGTTTTTGCCCCTTTCTTATTCTCCCTACCCACCCCTTCCTCCCTCCACTCTATGAATGGCTTTGGGGCCCCTAAGCGGAGGGCACTTATCCCTGTGTCCTTTTCTCTCCTGTCTTGCCCCTCTCTTCAGCCCTTCTCCTGCCTTCTTTTTGGCAGTCTGCTCACTCCCCAGGTCAGTGGCCTCTCCTTATAGTGTTGTTTCTAAATCGGACCATTCCCAGGTATCTTTGGTCATTTTTGGGGGGAGCACCTAGGCGGGGGCCACAAGGATGCCCCCTGGCGGGGCTGGGGGAGGAGGCGGGCTCAGCTCAGCGCCTTGCGCACATAAGACAAAGACTCCACCCATCACTGGGCCCGTCCACCCCTATGGTTCTGAACTTGTCAGCCTCTGAAGGATGAGAAAAAGTGGTCCTCTGTATTTGGTCGATTGCAACTCAGCCAGGCTCAAGCAGAGCAAGGGAGGATCTCCCGCTGAGGGTCGGCTTGGGTGTGACTGCCCTCTGCAAGGGCCTCTTTCTCCCCAGTGTACAGCCCCCACCTAGGGATGGAGGCCATGGGTGGCCATGGAGGGTTGGAGATGGACCAGGGTAACTCTGCTTCTGACAGGCTTCGTCTTGGGTGCTAAAGGCAGGAGGCATGATCTGGGTTTGAGTTTCTTCACATGGAAACAAAAGAATCACTGGAAACAAACCTTGTGCTCCGGTGTCAGAACCAGACCAGTCAGCCCCTATGAAAGGCCATCGTAGCACATTCCTCTCCTGTATAGCCCACTCATTTTTTTTTTTTTTTGCTTTTTGAGTCACACCCAGCAATGCACAGGGGTTACTCCTGGCTCTGCACTCAGGAATTACCCCAGGTGGTGCTCAGAGGACCATATGGGATGCTAGGAGTTGAATTGGGGACAGCCACATGCAAGGCAAACACTCTACCCACTGTGCGATTGCTCCAGCCCCGGATGGCCCACTCCTAGGTGGGAAGATAATTCTTCCTTTGACTCCATGGGCTTCCCTCTTCTGTTTCTTAAACAAAACTACTTTTTTTTTTGCCAGGGGGGATACAGCCAGGAGTACTTAGGGCTTACATCTGGCTCTACACTCAGGGTTCACTCCTGGCAGGACTCAGGACCATATGGGGTGCGGGGGATCAAACCTGGGTCTTCCATGTGCAAGGCAAAGCACCCTCCCTATCCGCTCTACTTAAGTATTTTATAAATGATAAAACATCAGATAAATACTAAAAATTGGAGCACACCCTTCTGTAAGGCCTCTACATGCCTGGCCCCTTGCGCCCCACCTTACCAACACTCCACAAGCACACCAGCTCACTGTTAGAGGCCGAAAGCAGGAACACAATCTGATAATGGTGCCTTGAGGCGGCAGGCTTCATATTCACCACAGTCAGCCAGTTGGGTTTCTCCGTTCTCTCTTTATTTTTAGCCGTTTTCTTCCCCCTGGTTGCTTCCCAGTAACTAGGCGAAATTACTTGTTTCCACGGCCTTGGCTCACATCTGCTCCCTAGATAACGAATCGCCCCTTCTCATCACTCTCCGTTCCTGGTGGCCTAAAAGCCCCCTGGCATCTCGTGTGTGTCTCTGTGCTGTCTCCCCTTGCTCATGCAAGGCTGACTTCCCTGTTCACGCTTCTAACCCGTGAGCCTGGGTTTTTTTTTTTGTTTGATTTTTGGAATTAGACCTGACCCCATGGTTTCAAGCAGTCCCTTTCTCCTCCAGCTTCGTCCCAGCCCTGAGATGACAAGCCTGTCGTCCCCCCTGCTGCCCCACATGAGGGCGTTTTCTCCCGTCATTGTTCCAGCCCGTCCCTCCCAGCTCACGGAACGGCACAGTCAGGCCACAAGTGGGGCTGTTGTCCGACACATTTTGTTTTGGGGCCACACCCTGTGGTGCTTGGGAGCTATTTCTGGCTCTATGCTCAGGAGTAACCCCTGGCAGTGTTTTCAAGGGACCATATGTGGTGTTCTGGACTGGAAACTGGGCCAGCTGTGTGCAAGGCAAGCACTTAACCCTGCACTATTTCTCTGACCCTGTCATCTGATTCATCAATTCCTCACATCCCCTCTAAGGAGACTATGAAGACCATTTCCCCCCCCTCAATTTTGGACCACACTAGCAAAGCTTCTGGCTCTGTGCTCAGGGGTCACTCCTGGCTTACTCTTTTTGAAATTTTATTTTTATAATTTTGTTTTGAGGACACACCGGCAGTGCTAAGGGTTACTCCTGGCTCTGCACTTAGGAATCACCTGGTGGTGCTCGGGGAACCAGTAACCGAACCCAGATCAACCATGTGCAAGTCAAGCACCCTACCCACTATACTACCTCTCTCTCCCCTCAGAGCTTACTCTTGACTCTGCTCAGAGATCACTCCTGTCAGGACTTGGGACCATATGGGGTGCCAGGGATCGAACTCGTGTTGGCCTCATTCAAGAAGGGTGCCCTATATCCTGCACTATCATTCCAGCATCCCTCCTCTCTCTCTCCCTCTCCCCCCCCCCCCTCTCTAAGTCATGGAGAAGCTTAGCGAACATCCTAAGTCTAAAAGTATGCTTTCTGTGCTTGGTCATTTTAGTTCCTCAGTATGAGAGTCTGACATGACTTTGGGACACTCAGACCATCCCATTACTCATCCAGTCTCGAATCTTGCCTCTGCCCGAATCAGGGCACCAGTTCACCTCTAGGGGGTGAGGCTCTTTCCTCCTTTATGCGTGCCAGGCTGATGTTTTAATTAGTTAATTTTGGATTTTGGGCCACACCTGGCAGTGCTCAGGAACTGTTGCTGGCTCTGTGCTCAGGAATGGCATTGCTTGGGCTGTGGGTGGAGGACCATATGTGATGCTCGGGATCTAGCCAGGATGGACCACATGGCAAAGCCAGGGCTTTAACCCCCTGTGCTGACTCCCGGGTCTTAGGCTGCCTGGCATTTTCAGCAGTGCCCAGTAGGACGTAAGTATCTGCACATTTAATTATTTGGAGGTCTGTGGATTCTCCTGCGTATCCACCACCAACAGTTGGACTTTTCATCTCCCATCTCCTGTACTTAGTATCACTTTCTAGGCAGGAAATTCTCCTTGCTCTTTTAGGTGAGCTCAAAAAATCTCCCTTTACTCTAAAAATTCTCAATAATGGATTATCCTCCATCTTTACCTTCTTCCATAGCTTACATCTGAAGATCCAAATGCTGGATTTTATGTAAGATAGCAAACTAAGGGGGGAAAAAATGGCATAAAATAGGAATTGCTTTCCCAGGTCTGTATTTCCTTGTCCAAGGTTTCCCGCTCTGCAGATGATGTTTTTTTTTTTTTGTGGTCCTTTATGCCATGAACCATTGTAGAAAGCCTCACGCACTCTTGTGTGCCCAGCAGCCAGCACACGGGGTTGAGGGCTGCTGGACGGGCCCTACCATTAACCTCTCAGGCCCGGGCAGGCTCCTACAGATTTCTTTGAATCAACTTCATTCTCCACATTAGATTCTTCGGGCTGCCCAAGCACCCCCTCTTTGCCAGCCATCTGTGCTCCCTGAATTTGCTCCCTTCACCATCCCCTCGGTCTAATTCCCCTCTCCCTCTGGCTTGATGCCGGGGTCATTCTGCATAAAGCGCATGGGGCACAGAGGCTTTCTACCCAGATACCCCGACTTACTGTCTTCCTCCTGACACGCCACCTAGGCTTTCCCCCTGGCAACCCCTGGGGCCCCCAGTGAACTCTGGCTCCCAAGCTTGCTGCTGCATACAGAGTCTGGGGTACCCCTCCAGGCTGTGGGGAGGAAGGAGCTGGCCTCTCAGGAGGTGCACATGGAGTGGTAGCAGTCTGTTAGTGGGGCCAGGACTGAGACCCCCCCCCCATTTTCTCCTGCGGTTTTCCCGGCATCAGACCATCCCTGTCCTGATGTCCCGGCGACATGCTCTCCAGAATGGCTAGGCAGGAGGGAGGGGGTGAGGGGGGGTAGGAACTGGCTTGGGGAAGGGGTCCGGAGGCTGGGCACTCACCTCTTGTTTTTGGTCCCCACAGAACATGTTTGGGATGTGGAAGCCTATAGTGTTCTTGGCTATCGCCGCTGTGGCTCTGTATGTGTTACCCAACATGCGACAGCAGGAGACAGATTACTGCCTTCACTGAAGGGAGACCCGGCCAGCCGAGGAGCCACGAACCCCGGGGCTGCAACCCTCAGCTTTGGGGAGTGCACACTGCCAGGGCCCCCCCTCACACCCGTCCCTCGTGTTCCCGTGTCCCCCCTGCTCCTGAACCTGAAACTCTCCAGGCTGGAAAGGCTTGTGGGAAACAAGTGGTTCCCATCTCCTGCCTCGCGTTAAGAAACTGGGTTCCTTGTAATTAAATATCAACCAAACTCACGCGTGTCTGTGGTTTTCTTCCACTGGGGGAAAGCCTGCGGCACAGAGTCGCTCCCTGGAGTGCAGTGCTCCACAGGGCATGGCTTTCCCACCTACACACCATGACCTCGGCAAGGCAGCCAGCCAGCCAGAGCAGGGTGGGTATACCCAAGAACTGCGGCTCAGAAACGCCTCTGAGCCCCAAGAGACAGGTGGGGTGCATTGTGGGAACGTGACCAGGCCCCCGCACCTCGAGTCTGGGGAGACCTACGGCCTGAGTGGGAGCCATCCCATGACCCAGGATGGGTTTGCTCTCATGGGCAGGCCTGGGCTGTTAGCAGGTGACATGCACACCCTCAACTTGAACTGAGAAAAAGGCAAAGAAATAAAATTCTTGGACCTGAGAGAGAACTCAGGTCTGGAGTGCATCGGAAGGCAGACTTCAGTCCCTGGTTCTGCCTGGTCCCTTGAGGACCTCCAGGAGCAGCTCCGGGAGCTAGAAAACACAAAAAAATCCTGGGGCTGGAGAGTCAAGGGCTGAAGGTGCGTGCTAGCCTGCATGTACAGACCCCGGTTTGATCCCCAGCATTGCATATGATTCTCCCAAGTACCACCAGGGGTGATCCTCGAACACTGTCCAAATAAAGCCCTGAGCACCACCCAAAAAACAAGCTTTGGGGATTTTTTAAAAATATGTATGGAAGGCATCATGAATTTGCATGTCATCCTTGTATAGGGGCCATGCTGACCCTCTGTCTCATTCCAGTTTTAGCATATATGCTGCCAAAGCAGGCACAAAACAGAACAGTTTTTAAAGAACAATCACCAGAGCCATGGTGTAGCAGGGAGAGAGTTTGCCTTGCATATGGCCAACTTAGCTTTGATCCCCAGTACCCCAGAGGGTGCTCTGAGCCCTGCCAGGAATAATCGCTGAATGCAAAGCCAGGAGTAAGCCCTGAGCACTGCTGGGTATGGCTTAAAAAACAAAAACTTTAAAAAAAAATTTTGTTAGGAGTTACTCCTGTCTCTGCACTCAGAATCACTCCTGGCAATGCTCTGGGGATCAAACCCGGATTGGCCACATGCAAGGCAAGTGCTTTACCCGCTGTACTGTCACTCCAGCCCAAACAAAAACTTTTTCTAAGGGGTCAGAGCAATATTACAGTGGGCAGGGGCATTTGTCTTGCCCGCGGCCGATTCAGGTTCGATTCCTGGCATCCCATATAGTCCCTCAAGCACCACCAGGAGTAATTCCTGAGTTCAGTCAGGAGTAACCCCTAAGCATCGCCAGGTGTGACCCAAAAAAAGCAATAATAATAATAATAAAGGCCACCGAAATCTAGACCAAAACACAAAAACTTTTTTAAAGAAAGCAGGATAGGGGCTGGAGCAATAGCACAGCAGGTAGGGCGTTTGCCTTGCACACGGCCAACCCGGGTTCAATTCCCAGCATCCCATATGGTCCCCTGAGCACCGCCAGGGGTAATTCCTGAGCACAGAGCTAGGAGTAACCCCTGTGCATTGCCGGGTGTGGCCCAAAAAGCAAAAAAAAAAAAAAAAAAAAAAAAAGCAGGATAAATAGTCTTTAACTGAGAAACATTTCAGGAAGGAACTGAGCCTAGCAGCCAGAGTCAGGAGAGCTAACAAGGGACAGCGAAATGGTCCCCAGGCACGAGCCAGCACTGAGCGCAGCTACCAACTCAGGCATGCCGTGGAGGGGAGGAAGCAAGAGGCCTGCCAGGGGACATCAGATGCACAGGCTGGCTGGAGGGGGCAAGGAGGAGAGACTACCCTCCATCAGGACCACGATGGGGGGAACGGCTCCAGGATGCTTTCCCCAACTTTTCTCGCCACCTGCCAGTTTCCTATTGGTACCACATTGGGCCAAGCCAGCTGGGAGCCCAAGAACAGAGGTGTCAGAGCAGGGCCCAGGAGCTTCAAGCGGGCAGAGGATTAAGGGGAGCTAAGTGGGCCAGGCAGGATGACAAGGAGAATTTGGGAACAGCCTTCTTCCTGCCACAGCCTTTGTGACTGGCTGTTCCCATCGGGAATGTTCCCGTGTGAAAGCCCCGTAGGAGCCTGCACTCGACTGACCTGAGACCGTTTCCTTGGGACCCCTCTTTCCAAATCTGATGCCAACCAAAGGAGTTTGTCTCCTCCAGATCTCCGAAGCAACGCCTGCTGCTGAACGCCAGCACTAGGGGTGTCGCTGGAACTTTTAGGAGACTTAAAATTGGTCTCCGGGGGTGGCAAGTTGGACTGGGAGTACAACCCGGCTGACTGGAATCAGTGGCAGGACTCACCAAGCCCTTAGAAACAAGTCTGCACCACATGGCCCTCTGGCTTCCCTTTATTTCTTTTTTTTTAGACCACACCCAGCAGTGCTCAGGGGCTACTACTGCTTCTGTGCTCAGGGGGTCATTCCTGCGGTGCTCAGGGGACCACGTGGTGCCAGGAATCAAATCTAGGCCACTTGTGCGCAAAGCTTGAGCCCTTTGAGCTGTCTCTCCAGCCCAAGCATCACTGCTAATAGTAATTAGGAGCCATAATAAGAAATAACAGTATATAGATTAAGGTAGTCAAGCTGGAGGTGATGCTCTGTCGCAGCTGGCCCCTATCGGGACTCTGATTCTTCCCCAGGCCTGAGCCCAGGACTGTGTGCTTTCCACGGGTCTTTTTTATTTTTTTATTTTTTGGGTCACACCCAGTGAGGCACAGGGGTTACTCCGGGCTCTGCACTCAGGAATTATCCCTGGCGGTGCTCAGGGGACCATATGGGATGCTGGGAATCGAACCCGGGTTGGCCGTGTGCAAGGCAAACGCCCTACCTGCTGTGCTATCGCTCCAGCCCCTCCCCAAGTCTTTTGACCCACTCTGCACAGCGCTCCCGCCTGGGACAGCTGCCCCTCGTTGCTTCTCAGTGAGCACCTTTTTTTTGTTTGTTTGGTTTCTGGACCACATCCCACAGAGCTCAGGGCTTACTCCTGGCTTTGCATTCAGGGATCACTCCTGGCAGTCTTCAGGGGAACAGAGAGGGTGCAGGGAGTTGAACCCAGGTGGACCATGTGCAAGGCAACCCTCCCTGCCATAGCATCTCTCCAGTCCCAGCATCTTCCGTTTGATAGGCCCAGGCTCCATGCCTCTTGGTCTTGTTGGCACAGTAGGTGACACCAGCTGGTGAGAGAGATGAACTCCGCGGTCTCTGTGCTGAACGGGAGGGTCACTGGATCTCTGAGCAGACAGCTTCTCCCTCTCTTCCCCCACAGATCATCCCCTCACTCAGCCTTCCATTCCCAGGCCTTTGCACCCCATCTGCCCCTCTCTCAGGGGCCAGCTGCTGCTGTTGAGGGACAAAATGGTGGGGGTGGTGGTTCTAGAGACAGGTAGGGTATTGCTCAGTAATAGAGCACTCGCCTTATAAGACCCTGAGTTCCCTCCCTGATACCAAAAGAATAAAGACCAGGGGGGCTGGAGTTATCACTCAGCCTACAGTGGGTAGGGCGTTTGCTTTGCATGCGACTGACCTGGGTTCGATTCCCAGCATCTCATATGGTCCCCTGAGCACCACCAGGAGTAATTCCTGAGTGCACGAGCCAGGAGTAACCCCTGTGCATTGCCAGGTGTACCAAAAACAAACAAACAAACAAAAAAGAGAATAAAAACCGAAGTAGACGAATTCCAGTACTAGGAGGTAGAATGTTGGGGTGCAGGAAAAGGTGAGGGGAGCAGGGTGGAGATTTGGGCAGAGCATTCCACAAGCACTAGATCTGTCTAGGAAAGCCCAAGACATCAGGAAAACTCTGTGTGGGGTGTGTGTGTGTGTGTGTGTGTGTGTGTGTGTGTGTGTGTGATGGGGGAGGGGGAGCAGTGACCAAACTCAGGGTCTCACATATGGAAGGCATGTGGTCTACCACCACGCCATATATCCCACCCAAGGCAACCTCTTTTGCCCTCCATCACCTATTAGCGCCAACCACCATGCTGTTCAGTTCCTGTTACCTCCTTTCATCTTCACACATTCAAAAGAAAACCCCATAAAGGTTCTTGCTGGTGACTCCATTTTCAGATGAGAAAACCAAGGCCCATGAGAGGTCCAAAGTTAGAGAAGCAGAAACGCAGATGCTGGTCTTGTGCCTATGGCCCTTAACCCTCTATCCCTCAGTCCCTGGTTCCTGGGTCAGGGCAACAGTATCATGGACAAATCTCCGGGTCTGCTACGAGCCTGGCCTGTCTTATGTCCTGACAGAGGACAGTGGAAACGTCCCTGGCTCCAGAAAAATGAGATTTTCAAACATGGCCAACAGCACCCGCTCACTTGATCCGTCTCAGCACCGGGGAAGTGCGGGCAGAGCCGGTGGCTGACGGGCAGGGCCCCTGGACAGGAGAGGCAGGGCCAGGTGAAGGCCGGGACCTGGTCTCCCGAGACAGGTCAGCGGGTGGTGAGTCAGGGGGCTATAAACGGCCCGCGGCCCCAGTCAGCACTGTCCCAAATACCCAGCTGATGAAACCCCCCATAAGCCCCTCAGTGAGGCCCGGCCCAGCTCTGGAGGAGCCCACGGGGGCTCAGCAGGGAGGGGGCCCCACTTGGCAGACCCCCTGCCCAGCATTGTGCACGGTCTGTTCCGGGCCACACGGCCTGGGCTCATGGGCTATATTGAGGGCTGAGTCACCGGCCGGGTCAGGCTGACTGGGACTGGCTGGCTGCAGCCTGAGTCAGGCCCCGATTTATCCTGGAGAGCAACAGGCTCAGGTTGCTGGTCGAGGGAGGGTGAGAAGGGTGCCGGGAACCATCCTTGGCACGGGCG